CCCAACCTCTCTTCTTTACCAGCGTTATCTCTGGCTTAGAGAGGTAAAGGAGTGCGTCGGCCGGGAGGGGATCGGTCCCCGAACCACGTGCATGGTTTGCGAGCGTCCTAAACACTATGCCACCACCATGTTCTTAATAATAGTTAATAGCCTTCCAACTAAGTTTCTTTATCCAACTTCCTTTTTCAAGGAAATATATAGTAGTATTTGTTCCATAAGACTCTTTGCGAATGTCCAAATTTTCCTTTGATATTGCTGTTAATCCCCAATGTGATTGGTTAGATTTTAAATCTGTGGGATGGCCCTCATTTTTGGTTGGTTGATCCTATAGATTTCCCTTATGATCGTCTTTTTCTTTTACCGCATTCTTTTGCATTACAAGTCGAATATAGAACTCCAAAGCTGAACTTTGAATTCTGAGTAGTGGTAGTGTTTTTGTTGCTTACGGAGTGGGGTTACTAGCCTTATGCCCAACCTTCCTTCTTTACTGGGCTTATCTACCAGCTAAATGAGGTGTAAGAGTGCATCGGATTGGAATCGAACCCCGGAAGCCACCTGTGTGATTGGTGAGCATCCTGCAGCTGAACCACCGACGTACTCAGGAATTATTAATACTGAACAGTATTTATTAGTTTGATGATATTAGATGGTTGAAGGCAATCAGCAGGATCTAGGTTTCGTGCTAGTTGTCACTCGTCGTCTGCGAACTTCAAGAAAAACTCATGTACCTTCTGCGATTCGAGCCCGCGTCACCCAGTGGGCGCTGCAGTCAGAGACGTCGCCATTGAGCTATTCAGGCTCGCGATTGACCTCCTTCCTGTAGGGCCGTTTTGGATATTTTGATTGGACACTAGTAACTAGTGTAATGTGTCTAGTCCTTTGTTTGGTGCAGACTGAATTCTATCAGTCAGGTTTGCAATGTGAACTAGACGCATCATACTAGTTACTAGTGTCCAAAGCAGTACTCCACCTAACTTGTAAGTACTGACTTGTAAGTACAAAACGCAGATCAAAAGACTCAGTCAATTAGTAATATGCCCTAATGAGCAGTATACTTGAATAAAATGAAAAGTTAAGACTGTATCAATGGATAGGATTCGGAACTTGTCTAGCTTTTGGAGGAAAAGGGTGTGTTGCCGTTTAAGGAAAGTATGGCGAATACTAAGACAGTTTCTTACACCAAAGCATTATGTGCTCCAGTGGCACTTTCATTCTAATTTCAAATTCTTGGTCAGAAATGGCTTCGTTTCTGACTCCCTCTATAGCCATATTGATTATTGGTATACGTGTATATAAACTGATAATGATATTAGATGGTTGGAGGCAGTCAATAGGAAGCCTTGGACTTAGGGATATGAGTTCCTTCAAGGTTGCAAATACGCCTTGCTGACGAGTGCCAGCTAGCACGAAACCTAGATCCTGCCGATTGCCTTCAACCACCTAATATCATCTAATCAATTTGCACCGTGATGGCGAGCAACCTAGAATGATGGCCACATTACAAACCTGACTGATAGAATTCAGTCTGCACCAAAGAAGGACTAGATACGTCACACTAGTTACTAGTGTCCAATCAAAATACCCACTACAGTCCTACAGGAGGTCAATCGCGAGCCCGAATAGCTCAGTGGAAACGTCTCTGACTGCCTGCAGCACTGGGTGATGCGGGTTCGAGTCTCAGAAGAGACATGAATTCCTTCAAGGTAGTTGCAGATACGCCTTGCTGATGAGTGCCAACTAGCATGAAACCTAGGTGGAAGGCCTCCTGACGATTGCCTCCAACTATCTAATATCATCAAATCAATATGCACCGTGATGGCGAGCCACCTGGTGGCATGGTGGCCACATTGTAAAGCTGACTGATAGAATTCAGTCTGCACTAAAGAGAGGAGTAGACACATCACACTAGTTACTAGTGTCAAATCAAAGTATTTATTAGTATTAATGCGTAGCTCGATTCCTGTGTTGTGTCACCCAACTCTGCGTTTTAACCCACTTAGTTTTGGCTCATTCGAATATGTATGTATATATTTCAACTTCTCCTATTAGTTCTGATTTTGTTGTTATTCTTTTTTTTATTACTCCGAGTTGATCACTGTATGGTCCATAATTTCATCTGTGCAGTTTTAAATTCGTTTTCGTAGAAAGTTTACTGGTTATCAGTCATATACAATGTCTTTTTTTTCCTTTGCGTTCCGAGTGGAACATAGCGCCTCAAGCTTTCGCTTTGACGTCTCAGCAGCAGTGGTGTTTTTTTTACGGGGTGGGGTTACTAGCGGCCTCACGCCCCCCAACCTCCTGTTTTTCTCGAGATTATAACCAGCTAAGGAAGGTAAAGGAGTGCGCCATCTGGGACTCGAAGTGCGGACCATCGGCACTGTCAGCTAGTACTCTACCCCTGAACCACCAACACTCATGTAGAATATGGTCGTTATATAAATATATATATATATATGATATTAGTGTTTTTTTACTAATATCGATTTGTAAAGTATGATCAATGCAATTACAGTTCATTGAAGATGCTTAAATAATAATAATAATATGATAGCAAATAGAATATCAACCAAAATTGGGGAAATTCCACAAAAATTCCTGATTATTCAAACCTGGATGGCCAAGGTAATGATAATGTCTGAACTGACTTCTTTTGGGTGCATAAATTAGGCTTGTTAATATGGATCCCCACAGCCTCAGCAGCCCAAGTTACCAACAGTTCCAAAGAAAGCCTTGTTCTTACAGATGCAGTTCCTAGGAGACAACACCGGTGAGATACTAGCACAGCGCCTTAGAAATGCGGTGAAAAGAGCATTCCCTGCTGCTCAATTACGCTGTATCTTTAAAACCACTCCTCTTCCGCGTTCGGGAGTTGATGACAAACTGCTTAATTTCGCCTCTTCCATGTGTATATACAAATTTAACTGCTCCTGTGGAGTGAGCCAGTTACATAGGCCGAACGATTAGGCGCGTTTCTCGTCGAATTTGTGAACATTACCCCACCTGGTTAAGTAAAAGACAAATAAAAATCTATTCGCAGCGCTATTCTATCTCATCTTGTGGAGACAGAACACAAGATTGACGTTAATCATGCTTTCAGGGTCATTTACCGCATACCTACGAATCTCAATTTTGCTTTAAGAGTTCGACTACTAAATATTGTTGAGGCTGTTGGAATCCATATTAACAAGCCTAATTTGTGCATCCAAAAGAAGTTAGTTCAGACATTATCCTTACCTTGGCCACCCAGGTTTGAATAATCATGAATTTTTGTGAAATTTCCCTAATTTTAGTTGATGTTCTATTCGCTAGTATATCTTTATTATTATTACAATTTAAGCATCTTTAATGAACTGTAATTCCATTGTGATCTTACTTTACAAATCGATATTATTTAAAAAAACACTAATATTGTTATTCACTACTACTCTAGAATATCCTATGTATATAAAAATGCATATATAATTGTAGAGCTGGAAGAGGAAATTATCGGAAAGGATATTCTTTGCTCGATTATTTTGTGCTTTGTAGATGTCTGAATGAGTATTTTTGCTATATATATCCAAACCAAGCTCACATTTAGTAGTTTTGAAAAACAAAATAAGCCTTGGGTTTATGATATTCATTATAATAAAAGTCGATTGATTTTTTTACAAGTACTGAAATACACCCAGAAAAATTTCAAAAATCACAAAGATCGTATCATGTCGTATCAGAAATACTTCATATTAAATAGAATCCTTATTGTGTGAATAAGAGTGACAGATTCCGACGGAATTTGATCTAGTTCCAATACCCCTTCCCCCTCATGATATGATAAAACTAACAAAATAATGCTAAACGATTTCATTATGTAAACACATGCTATTTTCAATAATCGTATACATTTATTAAATCCAGTAATCTTTACATGGTTTGTCATCGTCAAAAAATCAACCCATGCATGCATCAGAACCACGATTAAATTTCACTTTCAGACATAAGCACAATTTAATTATTGGTTTGTAGGGATTTGATTGATTGGTTACAGGATTTCATTATGAAATGACATCGTTTGGAGAGCCATTAGGTAACCGACTGGGAATACTGCCAGATATCTGTTTCGTCTCACTAGTTTGGGACTCTTCATCGGTACGCATCCACCGCCAGGGTTCGAACCGAGGACCTTCTGTTTACAAGGTTAGCGAGCTCGTAGACCATTAAGCCACTGGGGGTAGTTAGAATTCATGGACTGGCCATTAGTGAGGGCGGGTTCCAGTGGCTTAATGGTCTACGAGCTCGCTAACCTTGTAAACAGAAGGCTGTGGGTTCGTACCTCAGTAGGGTGGATGTGTACTGACGAAGAGTCCCAAAGTAGCGAGACGAAACGGTGGTTTTCCAATGGTTCTCTATTTGATGCTAGCTCATGGTGTAATCCTGCAACCAAAAACAAGCACAATTTATATGAAGTGAGAACGAGGATTTTGAGCCATGTCACCAATTTTCTCTAGCCTTCATTGGTCTTTATCGTTCCGAGGACACCAACCAGTCAGCCAAGCGGTCTACACCTTCCTACGTGACTGGCTGGCTGGCTGGCTGGCTTAAACTAACTGTTGTGGATTTCATTGATTGATGAAGTCATGTTTTGGTTTGACCACCACTAACTAGCTCTTTGCCAACTTGACCCTATGTCAGATAACATTGACCGTCGGAGAAGAAGATGGATGGCTAAACATACGTAAAACATGTCTTAACCATCTCAATCCATGTAACTTCACAGTCTCGTTAATTCATTTCCCCTCCTTACCTAGCTCGCTCTTGTCTAAAGCCTCAATATTGCTCACCTTATTATACCACTTCACACTGGGAGATAGAACGCAGGCACCTATGCATTAATTCATTTTATTTACTTTTCACTCATAAGAATCCGATTGGTTGTTTCAAGGTCATCTAAAGTAGGCGTTTATACTTTACTTCTTGCTAATAATGATAATAATGTTGTTGCTTGTTTTATTATTTTCCAGAAATATACGTGAATGGAGATGGTGGTGGTTCTGACGATGACAACAAAAATAAAACTCCTACTGGTGATGGTAGTTCGCGTAAAAATTCTTTAAAAAGACAAAATTCTTCAAATAGTGTTTACTATAATGTATGGGAGTCTGAAGATGGTTCTAAAGGTTGGTTTATTCGCATAGAGTACTCATGATTGTTTGTTTGTTCCTTTGACTGCGTAAATGCTGACCACTAGACTGTTTGATGAAAAGGCGGCCTACTTAAGGCCTACTCCCGTGTGAAGTGGTATAATAGGATGAGCAATATTAAGGTTAGGTGTTGAGTGCTTGGTAAGAAGAGGAAATCAATAGACGAGGTTGTGAAACAGCTGCATTGATTGAGATGGTTAGGACATGTGTTACTCATGCATCACTAGCCAACGCCATCCTCGACCGACGGGCAATGTTAGCTGACAGAAGATGGTTCAGGTTGGAAAAGAGCTAGTCAGTGTTGGTCAAACCAAAACATGGCTTTATCAGTCAATGAAATCCAAAACAGTTAGTTTAAGTCAACCATCCAGTCACGTAGGAAGGTGTAGACTTCTTGGCTGACCGGTTGGTGTCCTCGGGACGGTAAAAACGTATAAGGTCTGGAGACAATTGGTGATATGGCTCAAAATTGTCGTTCCCGATGGGTGGTGGAGATGCATTGCCACTCCTCGCGACTCATAATATCCAACGAAACTATATTTTTCTTCCATATTAATATTCTTTTTGCCTCATATCTCTGTTTACTGTCTCTGTTTTATATTTCTTTTCACTTTCTTCTCTTGCGTCGTGTGCTACATAAAGGGAGTGTGGTGACTGGAAATGCTTTACATCTGTGCAAAGTTTTATGTTGAAACCAGTCAGTCTACTCAAGTCCATAGGGATTATTTAATTTTCCACGAGGCATAGTGCGTTAAATGTACTCCGTTTTTACTTCGTTTTAACAACCATACATTTAAATTCTTGAAGAATTTTTTTATTTTATTTTGATTTACAGCTTGATTCCACACAGTATTTTTGGTACACGTATGGAATTTTCAGCATGGATATCGGTAGCCCAAATTTTGCAGGCCGACCATAGATATCGGGTGTGCGTCGGGAGAGGATCGAACCCCGGACCATGTGCATGGTCGGCGAGAGTCCTAACCACTGTGCCACCGACGCACAAAATGGGCAGGGTTGAGCAAGCTCACAACACCCGCCCGTAAGGGGATATGATTTTGAATAACTTTCAATATACCACTTGGTTAGTTTTAAAAGGAAAAATGAGAACGTTTCAGATAGAATAAAATCCCTTCGAATAATTTAGTCTAGATAACTCTGTATAGTTGAAAATTGTTTCTATAAGGACTCACAGATAAGCAGCGGTTCGATTTACCACACACTCCATCCATGTACCATACAAAACAAGAAACGAGAGTAAGAAGAGATTCAAAAGACAGAGAGATAATAAACAGAAGTGTGAGTCAGGGGAAAAGAATAGTAGTATTATATAAAAGAACAATAGAATGCATCTGCACCAACCATTGAGAACGACGATTTTGGACCACATCAATCAATTGTGTCTAGCCATTGGTTCTTACGGAAACTACCTTGAGACACACGCACACAGTCACAAAACACTCCAACTCCAACAACAGCAACAAGACCCTTATTCAGCGTAAAATCTATGGTTCCCTTCAACAAGAGTAACAATATCAAAGACACAAAATCACCTCAACGAAGTCGTTGAGCAGCTCGATAAAGAGGCTAAATATGTTTCTACTGGAAACCAAATACTGCAGAAAAAATTACTTAACCGAAATATTCAGCTGTAAGATGTACTGTAGATTCAAGCAGAATATTCTCTACAAGTCAGGATCAAAACTCTGTCAGCATAAATCACCGACACACTCTCAAGGTTAGCATGAAATTGATCCACTCAAACAAAATTGCCTTTTTTTTTAAAAGACATTATCAATGTATCATACAACCAGTAGAAAGAGAAGCGCGACCATTGACCATTGTTGTAGGTGGGACATCCATCCTCACACGTGACATCTGGATGGACCTCGCTGGTCACGACTTCTCACTAGAGCTCCAAGAAACTCCATCCTGTAACAAGTCACTAGCGAGACTCCAATTAATTTTGCCTTGTAACCGGAAGGCCCTGCGTTCGAACCCCCTATGGTGGATGAGTTTTGCCGATGATTCCCAAACCAGTGGGATGAAACAGCTGTCCAGTACTCCAGTGCTGGTTTTCAATGGTTCTCTAACCGATATCAATCCGTGATCAACTCGTAAAAACAAAACTAACCCTTACAAACCAAACTATAGAAAATGAAGAGAAGCGTTAAAATTAGAGACTAAGGAAGAGGGACAAAGAAAAATAATCAGGATGAGGTCAACAGATGATATGAAACAGTTAGGCTGATAGTATGTGTTGTATGCTGTGCGTTGGTGGCACAATTGTTAGGATTCTCGCTGACCATGCAAAAATGGTCCGGAGTTCGATCCCCCTACCGTTGCACAGCTGATATCAATTGGTCAGCCTGCAAAATTTGGGCTACCGATACCACATGCTGAAAATTCCATACTTGTGCCAAAAATGCGGTGTGAAATCAAGCTATAATCAAAAATGAAAATTAAAAAAATTTGGCTGAGGAGAAAAGTGGGGAAACAATTATACAAAGTTAGTCTAAACATCTCAATAAGTATCAGTTTTATAATGAGATTATTCAGGTGAGGTTTCCCAAATAATTATTTCGTTACACTGTATTTTATTAACATGTTATTCAGAATAAAGCTGTTATTATTTTTACTATTATTATCATCTTTTTTTAAATATTTACAGCTTATGAGTAGTATATAATGCGTAATTTGTGTCTGTCTGTCTATTTTCGACATAGAACTTCGCACATATGTGCGGCAGTTCAAGTCGCCACACTCTATGTAGCTCATAAAGCAAGAGAAGAAAGTAGGAGAAATGCATAATATAGACAGTAAACAGAGGTGTGAGACAAAGGAGTAGTAATAACGAAGAACAAAACAGTTTCATTGGAAATCATAAGTCACAAGGAGTGGATGCATCTGCACCGGCCAGCCATTGAGAACGATTTTGAGCCATATCACCGATTATCTCCAGCCATTGGTTTCTACCATCCTGAGGACCCCAACCAGGAAGTCTACACCTTCCTACGGGGCAGGCTTAAACTAACTGTTGTGGATTTCATTGACTGATGAAGCCATGTTTTGGTGTGACCACCGCTCTCTCTTTTCCAGCCTGACCCTATGTCAGCTAACATTGACCGTCGGTGGAGGAAGGCTGTGGCTAGGGATGTATGAGTAACACATGTCCTAACCATCTCAATCGATGTAACTTCACAGTCTCGTTGATTGATTTCCCCTCCTTACCTAGAACTCGACGCCTAACCTCAATATTGCTCACCTTATTATACCACTTCACACGGGAGATAGAACTCAGGCACCTATGATCGAAGATAACTAATCCTTTCATGTCTTCCGCTCCCAATGGCCAGGTCTCACAGCCATAAAAGAGGACGGAGCGGACTGCTGAGCATTACACACATCCCTTGGTCAATAGCCAGCCGGATATCACATTTATGCCAGAGACGTCGTAGTTTGTGTGATTTGCTCGCACACTCGTGTGTCTGTTGTAATTTAAACTGTTATGATTTACGGAATCGATACTGTTTGCTGTTGTCTGTTGTTGTTGTCAATGGAACTGGAGGTATTTTGAACATTGACTATTCTGGGTGATGACAGTACCCCACCTGTCGCCGCCATAAAGTTACGTGGTGGCATCCAGAGGGATACAACCCAGGTGTTTTTTTATTCACTCAGAATGAATTACAGTGTATTTTATAAAATACCCACCCCAACTTGATGATATTAGATGTTTGGAGGCGGTCGGCCACAGGAAGCTCAGCTGGACCTAGGTTTCGTGCTAGTTGGTATTCATCAGTCAGTAAGGCTTATCTACAACTTTGAGGGAACTCATATCCCTCCTTCTGAGATTCGAATTGGCGTCACCCAGTGAGCGCTGCAATCAGAGACGTTACCACTGAGCTATTTGAGCTGCATGGATTGACTTCCTGTAGGACTATAGTGGATACTTTGATTGGACACTAGTAACTAGTGTGATTGATGTGTCTAGTCCTTTCTTTGGTGATGGCGAGCTACCTAGAATGCTGGCCACATTGCAAACATGACTGATAGAATTCAGTCTGCACCAAAGAAAGGAATAGAAACATCACACTAGTTACTAGTGTCCAATCAAAGTAAACCCCCTCTTATTTGTTAAATTCCAAGATTTTGATCAACTAGAAATGAGTTTTATTATTCCCTCAGGTTCCGAGTGGAACATAGGGCTTCAGCAGCACGTCTACTCATTGTTTTATTTGATGCTGTCCTCTTCAGCTGGGTCCATGGTTGCCTATAATCACTTATCCCCTCCTTGCCAAGCGATCCCTTACAAGTCACCCTCGCACTGACAACTCACTCTTCGCTCCCCATTCGGATTTCACTCGAGCAGTGGTTTGCATTGCGGGCGATGTCATTCATCGGCCTCCCCAACGTATGCACCTCCATTTTCTCCTACATATTTGTTGAGCGACCGGCTCTTGGTTGGTTTGTTCATCGCCAGAGTTTCTTGTTGCTAATTCTTTCTGTCCAGCTAGCCATTTGATCTTCACTATGGAGGTGCGTAGGACTGGATTATTGTAACCTTCCTTCCTTTTAAGTTGAATCTTGCTGTCATTTTCCTGGATGAAATTGGTTCTCACCACATTATTGCTTTGCTGCCGCTCCCTCAGTGTGTTCGTGGTTGTCGTCTGGGTGATCAAACCGGAGTGGATTACTGACTTTCCAGTTCACATCCATTCCATCTGCTCTCACAGCACTTGTATGCTGTATCTTCGCATCTCTTTGGCTGCCTCGACAGCCTTTCCAGCCAGTCTCGTACATTTTACGGACATTTCACGTCTCCATTCTTACTTTCATCAACGGAAGACACATCAGGTGATTGGCTTCCCGAAGGCTGCCTTTGGCATCCCTCTGCGTTATTTTGCCTCTCCGATCCCATCGAAGAACAAGTTGTTTTCCATATTTTTGTGTTTCTAATATCTTTCTTGTGTTTT